TCTTATAGTCGTGTATTAGGACCATTCCCTGACGCCAAGAACGGCTCCAGCAACAGGCCAGAGCAAGCAGTCTGGGCCTGTCCACAGCGAGGAGCGAAGCTCACAGAGAGCCCAAAACTCACAGAGAGCCAAAACAGCAGCACGGGACGGGAATGATGGCCAAAGGTGGGGAGCGAGAATAGTTAGAACACCCCACCCTGTGCAGCCAGGCGCAGCCACAGAGCCGACAAGGGAGGGAATGAGACCCGCAAATCCCACGGCCAAATCCCGCAACAGTGTGCAACGCCGCTACCACGTAGCCTCTGGCAGAGCAAATGCCTCCTCTAACGCCTTGGACGTCAGCTGTCCGGTAGAGAGTAGGACATGAATGCTGCCACGCCAAACAATTTGCGTTACTACGCCAAGCTGCAGCCACCACAGGAGAAGTGGAAAAGGGAGGGACCCAGTTTGGCACCTCAGCTTAAATAGCCGGTGCGCACAATTGGTGCGGTGGCCCGGTGCCAAGCAGCGGCACAGAGGGAGAAGACCTCCGGTCACATATGCACACGCCACCCGGAGTGCAGAGTGAGCTGGCTCGTGATCAATTCATCAGGGCTCTCCTCCCTGCAGACTTGAGAGTTGGGGTACAGCTGCAGCATCCACAGTCCATTTAGGCGGCCTTGGAGATGGCTGTGGAGAGAGAGATTGTGTGGAGTGTAGCGGCGAGGAGCAACGGAGGGCCGGTACCACCGGCTGGAGGAGCTGCAGAGAGGAGGAGAAGCCTGTATGGGTTACCGAAATGACTGAAAGTGTTCAAGTTTTATTAGAGGAGAAAATGAGGGAGATGGAAGCAGCTGTCAAGGCAGAGAGGGAACTGCGGCAGCAACAGGAGGCTAGACTCAAAGCGGAGCTGGCCTCTCTTGAGCGAGATCTCCAGGAGAGTAAAGAGAAGGAGAGCCTTGTGACCTCTCTGGAGAAGTGCCTCCAAGAGGGCAAAGAGAGAGAAAGGAGCCTGGTGGAGGAGGGTGCCAAGAGGGAGGCGCAGTTCAAAGAGCTGCTCAGGAGCCTGGAAGCCGAGAAGGACAATCTGGAGGAGCGTCTGACGAACCAGCTGTCCCAGCTCAATGGCAGCATCGCAGATTACCAGCAGGAGGCGGCGGACAACCGGGAGCACTTGGCCGAGCTGCAGCGGGAGGTGGAGCGGTTGGCGAGGGAGCGGGCCGAGTTGGAGGCTGAGGCACAGAGCGAGAGCAACCGGGCCACAGAGAGAGAGAGCAGAAGCAGAGTCTGGTAAGCAGGAGGAGCTGCTGAGGGAGAAGCAGCTGGAGGTCCGGCAGCTGCAGAGGGACTGCATCAAGTACCAGGAGAGGATCAGCGAGATGGGTATACGCTAAGGCGCTGCAGCAAGGTTACAACGAGCTCCAGAATAAGCTAGAACAATCCCAACTGGAGACTTTGAAAACTCTAGAAGACCTGAAAAGGACAGATAAAGAGTTGGATACCTGTAAATCTCAGCTGGATGAGTCCCAGAAGCAGGCAAGCGTAGCTATAGCGGAGAGGAGTACCATGGAGCAGAACGCCCAACACAGAGAGGCCTCGATGAAGGCAGAGGCGGAGCAGACCCTGGACTCTGTGAGGTTCAGACTCGGAGGCGAACTGAAGGAGATGGAGCTGAGACTGGACGAGGTGGACAGAAGCGGAACTATGACACCAGGACAAGAGGGCAGCATTTCCGGGCCGGGGAGCTGGTCTGGGTCTACAGCCCACAACAGAAGAAAGGCCGGTGCCCAAAACTGGACAGCCAGTGGGTTGGTCCCTGCAGAGTACTGGAGAGGGTGGGGGTAGTGTTTGTGCTGAGTTTTATTTGTTCCTCGTGGGCGAGGAACTTTGTAGTGGGGGGGTAGTGTAGTGACTAGGGATGCACGATATTGGTTTTTTGAAACCGATACCGATAACTTCCTGCTTCTCAAGACCGATACCGATAACCGATAATAAAAAAAAATGTACGCCACTAATTATTTGAAAAACAAGCGCCCCTCATCCCAATCCACCCACACCGCAGTATTTTTTTCTACCCAAAAAATATATTATATATTATCGGGGCTATTAATACTGGTATCGGGTTTATCGGGATGACGTCATAATTCCTAATATCGGACCGATAATTATCGTGCATCCCTAGTAGCGACCCTGTATAGGATGCTGAGGGTGTCACTCAGGCATCCCCCGTCTCTCTGCCAATCATAGAGCTGCACAGTGATGCTGGTTGAGGTGCGGGCCTGTGGTTGGGGGAGCAGACGGGGGAGGGCAGTAGTTGTGACGTAGACACTGTTATATATATGGGTATGTGTAGAAGTTAGTGTTAATGTGAGGTTGAACCCACAAGCTGTTCCTGAACCTGTGATCATCTGTAAAGAAGAAGAGTTATTAAAGCCTAATAACTAGCAGCCTGTTTCCGACTCCCTTTGTGATCGTTACAGTACATTCAAGCGCACAGCACGACATTTTAATTGTCTGGTATTTGTAACAATATTCCCTAAAAGGCACAATCACCACGAACACGGCTAAAGCTAAAGGGTCAAGTACAGTACTATGACTAACTAACGTTGTAGCCTCTATGGTTGTAGCCTAGCAGAGTGGACAAGTTGCTGTTAGCTGACAGTGAGGCATGTACATGTCTATCAAAGTGACCACGCCCTAATTTATGCAAAAACTTTAAGACCTAATATAAATAAAAGGGTCGTGTTAGAAAACAATTCACTCACATATTCATAATCATGAAGGTAGAATCTATCTATATCGATAATAATATTTATTGCATCCATGGGTAGAAACATGTTTTTTTCCGCTGTAAAGTTGGGCATTTTAACATGGGGGTCTATGGAAATTGCTCCTTTCTGCAGCCAGTCCCTAGCGGCCCATGTATGAACTGCAGTGTGTGGCACTTCCGTGTTGGCGTCCCGGCTGTTCCCCAGAGTTTGCCGCTTGGCTGGAACAGGCGGGAGTTGAACTCTGACGTCACTGTCGAGCCGTTAGTGGCCGACTCCGCCTACTAAGGGCTTCTCGGCAACTCTGCAGAATCCTATGGGTGACGTCACGGACCCTACGTCCATCCATACAGTCTATGGTCCGCACACACACAAGACCGCAATTATGGCAGAAGCAAAAAAGCCCAAAATATATAATTTTCACTCCGAGTGGGAGGATGATTATTTTTTTTATCTATTCCAATTCAAAGTCCATCTGTCTCATCTTTAATGCGAGCCTGGCCTTAGGAGCGGCATTTCAAAAACAGTGCACAAACGCAGGCGGAATTCCCTCCTAATTCTGCCGTATACGCTCCCAAAAGGTGAGGGACCTGAAAAGGACAGCTAAATGCACAGCAGTCCATTTTCACCAGGCCCAACAACAAGAGCAAGGCTGCTACCATAGCATCTTATAGTGTCAGTCACGTTCTTGCGAAACACATGAAGTCTTTCAAAGACGGCGAAGTTGTGAAAGAAGCATTCCTGGAGGCTGCAGACGCGCTTTTGGGGGACAGTAAAAATAACAGTAGCATTTCAACAGGTTTTTGATATAATAAAAACTCAAGTTAAGTTTTAGTTTGTTTGAACTTATTCATTATAATTATTGTACAAAATGGTATAAGAATGCAAACATTAAGATCTGTTGTTTAAATTGATTATAGTCTCAATTCAGGTTAAGAAACTAGTGTTGTTTGCATCCTATTTTAAAAAGGCATTTATTTTTATACTCGACTAAAATGCAACAAAAAAAGGGTTTGATTCTATTAATTTTGTCTTTTTTATTGCACTTTGGCAGCAGATTCCTGTGTAGCTTCAGATCTGTGTTGTCTTGTCTTATACTTTTGTAGCAACACTATTTTTATATAATGGCAAATAAATGGTTCAGTCTTTTCTTTTTTCCCTGTGTCATATGTGGCAGCACTGTTCAATGTTTCTTGAAAACATTACCCACTGTAGTGTGACGTGTGAATAAACTCCAACTCTGTATCAACAACACAGTTGTGTAACTTCAGTTAAATACTTGTATGTGTGTAGATTAGAAAGAGGTAAGTTAAAGGATCTGCAGTATTTTATGAAGTATTCATCATACAAAAGGTTAGTTGTATATACGTAGAAGTGTGTATTTACCTGGTAGTAGGCTGTCAGTAATGGCTACGCCTCTCTATTTGGACTGGTAGATCTCGGCACACCGGCAACTTTAAAAGTAGCTCTCGGTTAAAAAAAGGTTGAGTGTGTCACTCAAGCATCCCCCGTCTCTCTGCCAATCACAGAGCTGCACAGTGATGCTGGTCGGGGTGCGGGCCTGTGGTGGGGAAGTTGTGACGTTGACCCTGCTTTGTTTGTGTGAGTTAGGGAGTGGAGTAGAGAGTGATAATGAACCTGTAACATGTAACCTGGGGCATGAACAATCGGCCTATCGTTTTTTGTAGGAGGACAGGCTGGTTTGCAGTGTCACAGCAAGCCTGCATCAGAGCAAAGCGAGGATATAGAGGGGTCAGACGGCCTTATTGCATAGAATGTGTTAAATAAATCTAGTAGAGTATTTTAAAGCAACGCACCTTAAGAAGTCTGCCCAATCTTCTCCACAGGCTCATCTTCGTCCAATATGTTGCAGCCTTTACCACAGAATATTAAATACATGATAAACCTCCTAGCTCTTCATGACATAAACACTTTTTCTTTAAAATAACAGAAACAAAACTCCCTTGATGAAACTTCACACATAATGAAACTCAGTATGGCTGTGTTACTAATAATACTTTTTGATATGTTTTTATTTTTGCAAAAATGCTCTCTTTTTTTCATACCCAGTAGTAGCATTAGCCCAAACATTTGATGTTTCCAATGCGATCCCTGAGCCTGGCAGTGTTAGTGATTTTTCATCTGAAAAAATATATCATAAATATATGACTCATGCTTGTGATTTCAACTTGTTTTTTTTGTCTCTTAACCAACTTAATTCCTCTTATTTTATATTTTGTTCTGTTTTTGTAGGCAATATATTGGACATGCTGCGAAGAGCATCTAGTAAGGAGGCATCGGAGAGTGGGAAGGAGGCCAGTGGCAGCACAGCTTCTGCTTCCTCCTCCGAGGGGATCCTGTGGTGTCACTGTTATCACCACTGCCCTGAAGACTCAGCCAATAACACATGCAGGTACTGTAAGAAGAGGAGAAATGCATAACAAATGTAACACACTTGCATCTGCGTTATTAGTGGTTATTTGTAAGTAGTTGCTTTACTTAGTGTCCTTGTTTTCCAGGACAGGAAAGGATGGCTGCTGTTTCACCATGGTGGAGGAGGTGAACGGGGTATCGGTCGACAAAGCAGGATGTCTTGCGCTGAGCGGATCAGTTCAGTGTGGGGTGAGTAGATGACTGTCACAGCACACTACAAAAAACTGCTCTCTTTTTCCACCAATTATTTAGTGTCCTTTATCTCATATCTTATCAACTTAATTCAACCCTGTTTTATATAAAAATATGTTCAATTGACTATGACACAAAACAGAGAAAATACAATTCAATTTATGGTTTGAGCCATAACTTAATAAAAAGCTGAACATATATAACTAATAAAAAAGGAAAAAGAGATATCAAATAATTACATTTCTGTCTTCCAGAACACGGGAAACGGACATAATATAAGGAGATCAATGAAGTGCTGTTCAGAGGGAGATTACTGCAATAAAAACTTGCATCCTACACTGCCACCACTTAAACCATCTCGTAAGTCTATCTATCATTCTCCTCTCATCCCTCCACTCTTTCTTTTCCATCCAACACAAAAAATAGCTATTTTCTCCAGTTGGCAAGTGGCATTGACAGTGTACAATAAACAAAGACAGAGCAAATAACTGTGATTGATGGTGTTATGGCACACAAGATTAAATATATCATGACATTCTTAGAGAGACAAAGACTGCTTAAGTGGGGGAGACAACGGGAGTTACTGTCAAACTGTCCTGGAGCTGCTGGGTGTTAAGTAGGGATGGGTATCGTTAAGGTTTTAACGGTACTAATACTTTTATCGATACCGCTTATCGGTCTGGTCTTTTAACGGTATTCTTATCGGTTCTTTTGGAGAAAAAAAAAAATGGTAAACTAACGAAACAAATTGTGAACAAAACTAACATTGCTTTTTATTTAAATGAAATACATAATATTTCACATCAAAAGAAACAACAATGTTTTAACAAATCGTATTAACCCATGTTTGTATATATATGTTGTTACAACCTGCCACAAGGCTGGAACAAATAGGGAGGCCACACAGAGTTATATGCCAAATATCTGTTTATCTAACAGGTTATAGAAAAACACCTCTGATGAATAGTGTATGTACGAATCAGACTGTCAGTAGTGTGAGCAGTGTGTGGGTGTGTGGAAGGGTGTTGTAGCATGTTGGAGGGTGCATCAAACCTAACACAGGCTGTAGGCTGAGGTTGCTACAGCATGCCAGAATCTGAATCAGAGAGTGATCCTTGCAGCTAGGCAACCTTTATACCTTCTTGTGGCTCCGCCTCTAGCTGGGCGGGCACAAACAGGACGACACTCCCAGTACCTGCCAGAGGACAGCAAGGCAGGGAGCACCACCAGGCAGAAGGGGGGAGGGGTCGTCACAATGTTTTGGGGATTTTAAACAATTTGATTTGATCCTTGTTAGTTTCTAGCCGACATTTCTAGGAAAGAAATGGACTCCAAGCCAAACATTTCCAATTTTGGGATAGTGTTTTTTCTCCATCTAACATTGTTTTGATGTCTTTTCATACCTTTTTCTGCCCCTCTCTTCCATTCCGTCTCACTTTTCTTTTCTTGACACCCCGACCCCCTCTCCCACCTCTATCCTCCCCTCTCCAGTCTATGTTGATGGGAGAATCCACCACATGGCCTTGTTGGTCTCAGTCACTGTGTGCAGCATCATACTGGCCTTCATTATAGTGTTCTGCTACTTCAGGTAATAACATGTGACCATCAAATTCACACAAATCAAAATTATTCTCGCTACAGTTTCCAGCAAAACTTTATAAATACCTTTCGACTATAATGCAAATATATCATAAATAATACCAAAAATCTTCCTGTTATGTCAACAAATTACGAGTATACCATGCCATGAAGATGAATAAAAACGGCATAGAATAGTATGACCTAAGACATTTCCTGGTAAACTGTGTCATTAAAACTAAATAAAAGTCAAAAACGTTATTATATTTTATGTCATAAAAAAAAGTCATGGCATAATATGTCATGACACTTGAAGTTATGCTGAATGCTTGTGTGTTCTTACAGGTATAAGCGCCAGAGGGCTCGTCCTCAGTACAATATTGTTCTGAAGCAGGATGAGAGCTACATTCCCTCCGGAGAGTCTCTGAGGGAGCTGATCAAGCAGTCTCAGAGCTGTGGCTCTGGCTCAGGGCTCCCTCTGCTGGTGAGATACACAAATTGCACCTAACAGCTGTTGGATCAAAGCGATGCACCCTGGGTCCCTTGTATGTACACACTAGTGCACATTGCTATACTTGATTACATATTGTCTCGTGTCTTACCATTAAGGAAGTATGTGAGGAGATGATGGTGGTAATTTGATACTTATAAGACATACCATAAGATTTAATTATTTGCTTAAAAATATTCTTATATAAAGTTTGACCCTGCCAAACATTGAAAACACTATTCCCTAATTAGCTTAGGAGCACCTAACCATCTAAGGGTTTCCTTTCTGAAATCTAAGGAGCTATATTTCCTAACACACAATGCAAAACACACATCGGTTTAATAGCGTATCTTAAAATCTTAGAAGTTACACTCTTGAGCAAACCATTCTATATATTTGTTCTCCTCTTCAGGTGCAGCGAACGATAGCCAAGCAGATCCAGATGGTGAAGCAGATAGGCAAGGGGAGGTATGGAGAGGTGTGGATGGGCAGATGGAGGGCAGAGAAAGTTGCCGTTAAAGTTTTCTTCACCACTGAGGAGGCCAGTTGGTTCAGAGAGACTGAGATTTACCAGACTGTTCTGATGAGACATGAGAACATCCTCGGTAAGACTTGGCTTCTTTCCGTATTTTCTCATGTGTACCTTTTCTAATATTGCTGCCCTCTTGTATCGGCCTTGTTTGCTTTTGGGAGTATTAACCTCCCTATCTGTCTTTACACGTTTATCTTGTATTAAAAACCAACTAACGTATACTCTTAGTGCTCCATTTCAATCAACAAAGTTACAGGGGATTTGAAGGGGAATATAATAAATTAGTCTTTCTTATATAGTTGCAGCAATCCTAACAATCCTTAATCATGGACTGTCGGATAGATGAGTTGGTTTACTGATAGGTTACTAATGCAAGTGGGACTGTCCATTGTTAACGTTGCTGCACCACACTGCACTCACTGCCAAAAACAATCAATTATGGCCCAGAGAACGTACACCACAACAAATTATAATGTAGACAACAACAGACTGCAAAGGAAAGATTGCATAATTAAACACTACAAGATGCATAGTAATTAAGAAGTCGGGCAAAAGATCACCTGCCAGTAAACTAGAAGACAGACTCTATGGAGCTGCTGTGCATAATGTTGGCTTCTACAGTCGATACTGCATGTTTTGTTTTCCAATTCAACACTGGGATCATCAAATTCACTAAATAAGAAAATGGTCAAGATTAAGATGTTAAAGTCCTAAAATAAAGTTACATTTTAAATCTTGAAATTACCTCTATGTATACTGAGTTCACATGATAAAAGTATTTTTTCTCAGCAAAAGTGAATTAATGTATTGGCTGCACAAACTGGTTCTGCTTTAATTCTAGGATTGAACCTAACCTATTAAAACCTACATGTTACAGTGAAGACACACTCCCTGACTCCTCTATTCACTCTCTTTCCATTCTCAGGTTTTATAGCTGCTGATATCAAAGGAACTGGCTCCTGGACCCAACTCTACCTAATCACTGACTACCATGAAAACGGCTCTTTGTATGACTACCTCAAATCAACCACTCTCGATAATAAAGCCATGCTGCGGCTGGCCTACTCCTCTGTGTCTGGCCTCAGTCACCTCCACACTGAGATCTTTGGCACCCAGGGCAAACCTGCCATTGCCCACAGGGATCTAAAGAGCAAGAACATACTAGTAAAAACAAATGGGACCTGCTGTATAGCTGACCTGGGACTGGCAGTCAAGCTTATCAGGTGAGTGAGTCAGTTACATTTGTTGCTGTTAGGCATATTTTCAATATATGTCTCAAATCCTCATTCTGCTGAATTTTAAGCTTCGGTAGGGGGCTGGAAATGTTCATGAATCCGAGTACTTTGAACTTCTATTATCTCAGAGGATTCAGTAATGTGCATAGTTCATTCATCTTTAATCTAAAAATGTTACTTTGATCTCTGCAGTGACACCAATGAGGTCAACATCCCTCCCAACACCAGAGTGGGCACAAAGCGATACATGCCTCCGGAGGTTCTGGATGAGACTCTGAACAGAAGTCACTTTCAGTCGTACATCATGGCTGACATGTACAGCTTCGGGCTGATTCTCTGGGAGATCGCACGGCGTTGTGTCTCAGGAGGTAAATATACCTTTTATGTACATACTTTTATCTTTTTGGACACAAACAACTTTTTTAAATGCCAACAATGTTGTACTGTTTGGGATGGCTATGCTCTATGGAGTTTGACATCTTGACACATGACCAGAGTGTATTTCAACGTCATATTATTGGTTGTAGGAATCCTTGAAGAGTACCAGTTGCCATACCATGAGTTGGTGTCTACAGACCCTTCATATGAAGACATGAGAGAGGTGGTCTGCATCAAAAGACTACGACCATCATTTCCTAATCGGTGGACCAGCGATGAGGTAAAATACATCTAAATAGTACAACTCATACATGCTATCATACACACACAAACTAATGACCTTCCTAACACTATCTGTGTCTCTTCAGTGTTTGAGACAGATGGGGAAGCTGATGACAGAATGTTGGGCCCACACCCCGGGCTCCCGCCTCACAGCCATACGGGTAAAAAAGACCCTTGTCAAGATGTCAGAATCGCAGGACATCAAGCTGTGAGCAGTGTGTTTACACAGGCGCGGGAAAGGCTCTTACTGTCACACTGGCTCTGGTCCAGGATGCACTATCCTTGGAAAAGGAGGAGGAACAGGAAGCATGATCACCACTTGGTAATCGCAGGATCACACCCTTCGAGTCCAGATGCACAGAACACGAGAGTGCAGGTCCCCCTTTGAAAGAATGTATAACAGGATTACGGTAGTAAACTCAAAGTGAAACTCATTCAAAACAATCCGTCCGACCCTGTTCTGTCGATCAGAGAAGATGAGTCATTTTCATTTCAGACTAGTTTAAGGACTCTAAATCCAGTTTCTTGTTCACATGCTCCAAAAGCCCTGGAGGAAATAAATGTAAGTTTAACTTGGCACTGTAGCTGCAGAGATATGCCGACACGCTACTGACTAGTGAGTGGAATACTATATCAATGCTTTCTGTGAAAGCTAGCTTACCTTTAGATGAAGGTCCCATTGATAAAGCATTAGGCTTATTGCAGCATGACACCTCCTTTCTAAACCGTCGACCGACTACTGCCTTTATGTTCCAATTGGATTGAACACTTGTGTCACTCTTGAGTTGCTTTAGGTTGCAATGACTGACACTATGTGGCAGAACAAGTGTTTGTTGAGGCTTTAAAAAATGTGTTTACGCTGTAAGGTTTTCAGACACTGAAGAAAAGGTACACCTGTATCTTTTAATTATAATGGGATGTCAAAAATGCAACAGTTTGTTTTTCATCAAAGTTGATATGTCCAAATCAATTCTGGATAGAGGCTCTACATGCCTGTGTTCCCTTGCCCTGCTTTAGGAAAGGGGGCTTTGCAGTAATAATGCCAATGAAGCAGAACGGTGCCACCCATAGGTCTGCCAAGGCAATCAGAAATTGTTGTACACAACTGTATTAATGACTTCTCTGATGTAGTGATCTATTTTAAATGTGTGTAATTGTGCCTGTGTTAGTTTAGGGGTTCAACAAGTCGTTTTTAATTCAAATTCTCACATGGTAGCAGTCAAGTATTAGGAAGATTAAACAGCCTTACCGCCTCAGTATGAAATATTTCTGAAGGTAAATGTGGACACCTTTCATCATCACAGTAAGCACATCCTTAGGTTGTCTGCTACCACATCCAATCGTTGTAATTATTTTTAGTCCATTTGTAAAATCCTTGATAAACTTTCCTTCAGGTCAATGAGTAGTCTTTTTGTTTGTTTTAAATCTTTGCCTTCTAAAATCGTGGGATTCTTTGTAATTGTTGATTGATGTGTTGTGTTATACACGCCCTCTCTTTCCTCTTGGATTGTGTGCCTTATTTAATATGTACCTACTGTAGTTGTCTGTGAGAGAAAGTGGTGTTTTAATTCAGTAAAAAGGTTGAACATTCCCCCAATAAAGTGTTTCACTCATGGACATGGCTGATTCACAGTTTGTGGTGGCTGAATGAGGAGCATACTAACTAGTCTCTCAGGTGCCTCTTACTGTTAAGGCATGCTCTCAATATTTCCTTGTTTAAAGAGAAGTGCATGCCTCATTGCAGCCCAGCGGTGCTGCTGAGCACACATCATGTTAAACAGCTACACCATAAGCATTTCTTCTTTCTATTACTTCCTCTACAGAATGCTTTATCCAACTACTATTGAAGTCTGGCAACTGTTAATATTAATTACACAGAAAGGTTCAAAGCATTGCAAATTACATATATACAATCATCATGGTCTACTCTATTGCATTTGGAACCTTGCCGTACACACCCTATTATTACAACATGAAAGCATTAAACCATTTCCCAAAAACATTTCTGTAGAAATAAGCCACCATAGGCACAACATATTATCAGCGTTGCTTATAAATATAATTTATTAATTGTCTTAAAAATTCTTTCTTACACTTTGTACAGAAAACAATTAGAGGAGATAGAGAGGCGAGCATTCAACAAGATTGAGCAAGATTCATGAAGCGTGCCAGAAATAGCAAAATGGACCAACACTACCCCGCAATAATCAGATCATCCCTTATAGTAAAATAAAAATGCACTTACTGTACAAGCACAGCTCTAGGAATAGACTTCTATCATGATAACCAATGCCAAATTTGCATAGTAGACACTGCTTTTACGAAAAAGGAAAGAAACTTAAATACAAAACTTGAAACATAGAAACTAAAATCTAACTGTCCTGCTATTATTTTGAATTCTCAAATTTGCCAAATATAGCTGACAGTACACAACTGTACATGATGTCAATACAAAATATTTTGTAAATACTTTGATATCTTAACACTACTTGTTTTCCTTTCAACATCAAGGATCGCCTTCTAGAGGCCCAACGTATGCTTTCCTCATGAAATCCCCCCTTAACAAACAGTCTGACCTGCTGTAAACCGTAGATTGATTACGTGGTGAGGTTCTGATTATGGGCCAAGTTACACAGTAACACGTTTCTTACATCTGACCATCGTGTCCTTGCGCACGTTCATCAGCATGTATTCTGCATTTGACTAAATAAGCAATGTTGATGATCAAACAGAGATACTGTCATGACTTTTGTCTGCATATTTTCTTCTGAAGGAAACTTAATGTTTAGACTTTTATCCTCAAAACTAACATAACTCTTCCCTTTGTTTTCTGACATCGGCAGTTACATTTGAAAACATACAAAACATCCACGCCATCATTTAACCATGAACCGTTTCTAAATTGAATGATAAGGCTGTCCAAAATAAAAGACTCATCAATTTTGAGGGCTAGCCTGAACAACAATACAAAAGGTCATATTTTTTACAAGCATATTTAAAAAAAAAAAATCGCCATGTAAAATCAATATCTAAAGGTTTCTTCCTGTGTGGACAGCGACCAGAAAATAATGCGCCATAAAAAGATAAACATCTGACCTTTTGTACTGATATTTACTCAGCCTTTGCCCTCTTTCCTTTAACATATCCTCCTAAGTATCTCCTCTACATACCTGATGTTCAGTTTCATATGGCGTCTCTCCATACTTCAGATTCATAGATTTTACCTGTATTCCCTTTGAACTGAATGTTCATGTTGTCTTTAACATGGTCCATATGGTTCGTGTCCCCAGGGGCATAAGAAATCTACTTAAAAGCCACTCAAAATAAGGCTGTTTTTTTTTTACCATTTCTTCAGACACTGTTGACCCAAGTATATGCATACATTAAAAAGCCAGCCTTGCTTCACAATGTTATGCAAAACACAAAAATATTACACTTTATATTACATACAGTCATCCCCTTTAGTTGATATCTTGATCTTAAGCTCTAATTTGCAACTTTTTCAACAAAAACACCATGAGTTGGAATGTTAGTTGCTGCAGAACATTATTTTAGATAAAGGGCAACTAACTGATATGTTACAGATGTTATCCCCCCATACAGTTCACACCCATAAAAACAATAAAATGGCATAAAAAATGAAAAACAATGTTAATGTAAGTAACACAAAATAATATTATGGCAATAAAGGTCATTAGATTGAACATGATAATCATGTATTTACACGTTTCAGACAATCGCAAATGTAAATGCTGTTATTCTTCCAAATCCACTGGAGGGTGCTAGTGACCATGATCAGCTCACAAGTGAAATCATCACAAAACACCCTGAAGGCAGACAACACAACTGACGCCGCAAATATGACAGAAATATATATGTTATATATATATATTAGTAAATTAAAACATGATTGATAAAAAGTATATTGTGTATATTTAGCGATAATGAGTGATATCAACTGTATTTAATCCATTACTACTCTGGTAGTTTGTATATTTGTATTTTAATACACTTTTAGCTCCCTCTCAGTTTTCTCTGAGTTGGACCCTGTCCAGAAACAAGCCTGATAGTCGTTCAGAGAGACTTCTCCAACTGAGGTTGTGGTTAACCACATGTGGTAGCCATGGCTGGAATTCCCTAGCCGGCAGCTTGTCTGCATCTGCACTACAGCTTCGTCCAAACAACTCGTCTTTGGGGCAAAAGGGACACTTTAGAAAACTAGTAAAGGCGTGATTTTATTTAAGGGATGCATGTAGCTAGAAGATCATTCCAGCTCTCATGCTCATAGTGAAACCTTCAAAAAGGTACAGAAACCTGTCTCTTTCACACAAACATTATAAAATACTATACTGTTCATACAGTCTGTATCTTCGCCCTGTGTATCTGTTTATCATAAGTGCGATATTAACTATGCCTAAAGAAAGACAGTTTCACAAGTCTGAAACAAGCATCCATGTTACTTGCATCCATCTGGATTGTAATCATCTTTGGATTGCCTTTAATAATACATTACGTTTAAAAGGCAAGTGGACAACAAGTTAAGTTGCTTCGACTATGTCGTCTAGACTCCCTGTTACTAAGATGATGTCATATCTCCATGCACTTTGGACGAAAGCCTCACACTGGATACCGAATGTATAACTTGTTATGTCAGCCAAAGATGGAGAACCCTGAAGTGCCCGGCTTGTTTCTGGTGAGGACCCTTTGATTGAGAGTCACTTGGTAACACATTCTGTTAGCGGGAAATGATCCACATACTGTATGGACAGCAGAATACATAAAACGTTCCCTAGGAAACGATATAAAGACAACAAACTGTACCGGCGAAACATGTAGAGCCAAGGCTCACAGGTGGTGAGGGATCACTTCTTTATCTCCCCTCTCATTATCTGTTCTCCATCCTGTTGGTACAGAAGATCACCTGCAGCCATCATTTCATGTTAACGTCCTCCCTCCCTTTGTAATCAGTTTAGCCTCTCCATGTGTTTACTCTTATCTAACTAAAGAGTGTCCTCTCAGACTCACTCCTTGTTTTCCTCGCTCTACCTTCACCCACTCTTTTGTAATCAGTTTAGCTTCTCTCCATTTATGATTCTGTTCCATTCCTATAGAATGGATAAAGGCTTCAAGGTCAGTACCTCCACTGCCGCTTCTCTTTCTTCACTAAAGTAACAGCAAGAAAACAACTAGTGTTACACCAGACAAGATCTTTTTTTCAGGCGTGTGTATGTTTTGTTTGTTCCTGATATACTTTGTTTTTTGTTGGGTTATGTCACCCCTCGGTCACACACAACACTCCAACGCTGGTCATATAAACACACAGATACACACAGTCTTCAGCATCAGGTTGAACATTTCTAGCCATTGTTGCTCAATCTCCATCGCTGCAGCATCGACCGTGGGGAATCACGTGTAATCGTCTTCAGAGTTCTGTCATTCTCAAGGTATTTACGTTGCTCCTTCAATGTTCTGTTGTCATGGAGAAGCTGCCGTCATGGCGGCCCATCTCCTCCAGCACAGCGGCCAGTTCGTTTAGGTCTCCATCGGGGAAGTGCTGGGCCTCCCACAGATCCAGGATCACTCCTGTGGGACTGGACTTGGTGGCAAAGTAGTTCAGATACCTGAATGAGAGCAGAAGGATGACGTATCTCGTTAATATTACATGACAGAATAGATTTCCTTCTCCCACATTGTTAGCACAAAGTTATTTAGAGATAGAGTGTGTGTTGTAGTCATGGATTTCTGTCATGAATCAACTTTACTGTAGGAAACAAACTCAAGTATACTAAAGCTACAGGCTGCAACTACAAATCACAACAAAGGCCAAATCAAAGTGTTCCATGGATCAACATCAAACTTTCTTCATGATAAAAAACATTCTTACAAAAAAATTATGTTTCAAATTTCTATTTATGAAAACAAAGAAACACAACAAGCAGTTACGTAATCTGGAATAATACAAATCTTTAAAATACATTGGAAATAGTCTAAAGTGATGATATAATTAAGTCTTAGATTTTTTTTAAGGTCAAATATGTAACGTGTCTTTGCAGAAGGGAAATCAAATTACTCTGAAAAGAATTCAGAAAAGCTAACAATCTCTACTTTCTCATGTAAGAAATAATCCCTTTTCATGTATTGTCATTGCTCTAAAAGTGAAATGTAATGTATCTTGATCTGACGTGCTCTCTTCAGAACCTGACTAACCTGAAATGTGAAAACATATTAAAAGCCCCTGATATCTGAGCATACTGTACAGAAAAACACGCGGGAAAATATCATATAACGTAAAACATTTATTGAGTGAAGGACTTGCCATAATAATTGTTTATTCTACCCATTTCAGATTATAAGAAAACAATGCATTTTCAAGTTGATTAAGAGCACCAAAATGTATCAAAAAGTCCACAGGGAGAACAGTTTTCATGAGAACAGTACATAATAAAGCTGTCGCAAATAAACTTTTAATTACATGGTTGTAGGGAAAAAGTCTAACGCTGAACCATCTGTGAATAAAGTATTGAAGATGCTTTCAAAAAAGAAAGCCATCAGAGTTGAATTCCATGAGGAGAAAATTAGACTTTCTGTTCCTCTGTAAATCCTGTGATGGTACTGCTGGCACACTCTGCTACTGTTTAAATACCAGAGACGTGTACATAACTCCTCTGCTCCTAATCCTGTACTTTCTACTAAGTTTTTTACTTCTCAAAACAACCAATAAGCTATTTTCATCACTTCATTACTTACTTTGTTTCTTTTTTTCCTCACTGCAGTATGTGATAGGGACTGTTGTGCAGTTTTGTAAACTCTATAACTGAGATCCTGCTTTTATGCATGTATGTGCATGTGTGTGCATGTGTGTGTGTGTGTGTGTGTGTGTGTGTGTGTGTGTGTGTGTGTGTGTGTGTGTGCGTGTGTGTGTGTGTGTGTGTGTGTGTGTGTGTGTGTGTGTGTGTGTGTGTGTGTGTGTGTGTGTGTGTGTGTGTGTGTGTGTGTGTGTGTGTGCGTGCATGCGTGCGTGTCACCTGTCAAGGTTGAGTTTGTGGGCCAGCAACCTCCAGTCATTGCCTCTGGTCTGCGGTGCATCCAGACTGCCACACAGCTTCTGTCTGATGGATAAGGGAATACGGAAAGCATTGGGTCCCACTAAGGTGGTGATATTACTGGCAGGGTCCATCAGGGACGTGTCTATGCACTGGAGATCCTGGAAAGAACAGAAAAAAACTGGTCAATTGTTGGAATCGATATTAGTTATTTCAACAACACAAAAAAGAAAGAAAATAAACACTATAACCAGAGATGGCAAAAGTACTCACATCCTTTACTCAAGTCGAAGTACAGATACTCGTGTTTAAAAATACTGACAAAAAAAAAAGTAAAGAAGTATGGGCTTCGACGTACTTAAGTAAAAAGTACCCATAACAACCAACTTTTTTAAAGAGTACCTGACCTCCCTTTATATTAATAGAACAATAATGTCATTGTTAGCTAATGAATGTTTCGATGCTGAACAACGGCAAAATGACAACGTTTTCATTGGTCCCTCTTGTTTAGAGAAGACCAGGAAATGATGGATACACGGATCGTGTTAAAATCAATAGGCACGCAATGACTCTAAATAATAATGATCACGCCACCAAACGCAGCAAAGAGCCTGTTTTGAAAATGTAAGAAGTAGAAAGTACAGGTATTTGTGTTAAAAATGTAAGCAGTAAAAGTTAAAAGTCGTCAGAAAAACAAGTAGTGGAGTAAAGTACTTATACCAGAAAAATGTACTTAAGTACAGTAACGAAGTATTTGTACTCCACTACTTCCCACCTCTGACTATAACTCACTTATCGAAGACACAGGATAACAGGGATACATGTGCAATCCACAAGAAAAGTACCATATGGATCATTTATTGTGTATCCATGTGGCAGGTGGCAACAAGTTCAATCTGTCACATTTAAATTGCAGATATGTCCCCGTCCTTCTGGAACAGATTCTGGTCGTCTCTCTGCTTACTGCTTTCGACGTGACCAATTCATAATAATAATAATCCTTATATTTATTATAGCGCTTTATCAAAGACTATCAAAGCGCTTTACAAATACACATTACACATACAGATCATACATGTAATTGTCATCTACTGTGGACAATACCCACAGGAGCAAATTCGGGTGAAGTGTCTTGCCCAAGGACACAACGGCCTGACGCAGTGGGGTGAGAGCGGGTTTCGAACTGGAGTTCCCCAACGCCCCCCTTGATCTGATGATCAAACGCACAGACCACTGCGCCACCCGTCCCAATTAGAAACAAGTCTCCTAATTAATAGAAGAGTGAAACAAACATAAAGATCTGCTTCCAATCACTCTCTCTTTCCTGTCGCCGTCGATCTCTGTCTCTTTCTAAACCTTCATTTCATTAATCTGCCACCACTGGGCTGAGAGGAGGCAGCAACCTAATGAATGTGCCTTGGCAGAGGAAACAACAACTGCCACTGTTGATGTGAATGATCACTTTTTACTGCGTCTACTTAGCCCCAATTTACAACAGAAAGCTCTCTGCTGCTGGGGATTGAATGATGGATGCAAAGGGACATCTCTGTTTCGCTCTTAAAATAAGAAATGCTTTAAACCTGCTTTATTTCACTGTTCAACACGCAGGACGCTGCCGTCTGGAGAGACTAGATCTTTTTATGTAACGCATTCACAAAGAGACTCAATAAATACTGCTATAAATAATAAATCATACTAGCTATTCAGCTATATTCACCATACCTGCCAAACATACCAGCAATGATGTGATATTTTGTAAGTTTAGGTATGGCCTATTAAAATTGATTTAAACTGATTACTTAGAAAACTACATTTTTTAACATAACTCATTTCCCAAATAGAAGTACTGATTTTCATTGTGCACTTGTTACATAGATAGCTTTGGCCCCAAAAATGCTGATTGTTTTGAAATAATTTTCTAGAAGGCGTAATGAAGTAAGTAGAGGATCACAGGAGAAATTCTAGTTTAGACACTGTGCAAATCTTTTAACCTGGGAGCACAAACAAGTGTATTTTCAGTTGGGCAATTTCCCCATGAGTATCTACTGTACATTCACCTAAAACAAATGATAATTCCACCAGTGATCAGTGACCAATGCAGGAGAAGTACAAACTATCTGCCTGCAGCAGCCTCACTATATATATATGTCAAAAATCAACATATCTGTTTAATTAAGAGGTCAACAATTTGTGAAAAGCGTGGGAGAATTAAAAGCAGTGACATTCCACACACACACACATACACACACACACACACACACACACACACACACACACACACACACACACACACACACACACACACACACACACACACACACACACACACACACACACACACACACACACACACACACTGTGACATTGTGGTTACATGGAGCAGCAGAATCAAAGAGGAGTTATTCCACTGGTGGCATGTGGCCTCCAGCCCCGTATGAATGATTGAACAGAGTCACAGAACCATAGCACGAGCACTGACTGTCTGACAGATAGCGGAAAACTTAATGACTTTAGGACCTTTAGTACGGGAATGAAGAAGTGTAGTGGAAGGAGCCTTTGTCTTCTGTAGCTCTCTAATATACAGCCAATACCCAACAAAGTGAGTGTCTGTTTAACATTGTGCATGTGGTTTTCTACAAACGTACCTCCTCCAACGTGCTGCTGAGCTGAAAGATCTGTCCCTCTCCCTCCACCTGCCGCACGCACAGTTTACAGCTGATCTCTGTGGTGGCTGGGCTCAGTCTCTCCAGGGTGAAGGTACAGTGAAGAGTTCTCTGACTGCCGCTCCACACCTGATAGAACGGGATCTCCTGGAAAAAACAGAATGGATGATATGCATGTTTTTGCAAACAATTTATAATCATGTAAAAGTGTTTGTAATAAATGTTATTATCGATGGTAATTGATCAAAGTGAAGCATTGTGAATGTATTTTGCTCTGGACCTTAAATGTCCCCTATTACACTGGTTTTCATCAATATATTATAGGTATATATAAAACATGTCTCTGAAGTGTTTTGCTCGAAATACCAAACAGATCACGCATTGTAGCATCCCATAATCCCCTCTGTTTCAGCCCTGTTTCAAAAGTGCTGATTCTCTGTCTGTTACCGTTTAGATGAAAATAAGGTGCCCCTCCCCACGCCCCTCTGAGAGATATTTGGTTAAAAAGAACACAATGGTGCTCTAGGAAGAGATTCAGGTGATAAGGTGTGTGTGTGTGTGGGGGGGGGGGTTACCTTGGTTGGTAATTGGCTAATGGTTACAGAAGCCAAAAAATCGTTATGACATCATTAAGTGGCCAAAATCTGATCAGCTCATTTTTATATAAATGGATCAGGAAAAAAAGTGAGTGAATCTTTTTTCCTGAAACTTTCAGAATGTCTTTACACAGAGGGGACACATGTTGATGTATAAAAGACATGAACAAGTGGATTTTGCATAATAGGTCCCATTAAATGCACAACGACAACCAACAATGAGCCATGGTGCTAGTGTGATCGTGTGATAGTGTGAAATGTATATTACCTTAAAGGCTAAACATTAGTGTCTCCTTGTTAGGCTCAAATTAATACTACTTTTAACTGTGATGTGTATGTAAAGATATTTTTCTACACCGTGCATCATGTACCTGAAAGTACATAAGTAGTGGAATATTCCTCTCACCTGATACTTTGCGATGAGTTTGCTCTTCCAGTGTGTGTGGGGCACGTCGTGGATTGACAGTCTCAGATTGTGTGTGCTGTCTTTAAAGTTCAGGGTCTTTGGTTCATCCAGAAGCTTCCCTCCCATCTGGATCTCCATCTGAAGAACCTCCTACACAAAATCACACAAAAAACCCAATGCTTACAGAACATTTCCTCAACTTTTCTTCTCTCATGCTCACTGAACGATATGTTGTCACCAAGCATTAGAGATTGCAGAAAGCTTTTATTTTGTCTTGTGAAAAGGTAAAGCATGTTGAATGTTGCATTTAAGTCCACAGCAACATGAAACACAGGAACGTTTTTATTAGATTACCATAACAGACCTCAGCATAGCTCTGCTAACTGCACTCAACTACAAACAGACATTAAGATGCAGAATATAAACCTTGATTATTAAAGCACCAAATGTCAAAGTACTGCTTTTGTAAGATGTGGGAAAGAAGCATATATTTAATGTAACGGCCCGTCCACACAGTGGCGTGCATTGAAGCTTCCAACGCTTCTGCCCATTCACTTTGAATGGGGTGATGTCACTTTTAGCCGAACTGCATTTTGGGAAGCGACGTGGAGCGTTGCTGGCGTTGCTGGCTTCAAAAGTTGAGCAATGTTCAACTTTTGACGCCTCGATGGAGGCGTCAGCCAATCGAATCATATGCCAGTACAAGCTCTAGCCAATCAAACCGCGTGCTTGTGTGTCCGGGGCGGGAGATTCATGTGATTGGTTGTTGGTCGAGTGTCAGACACGCCCGCCGGCAAGCGACAACGCACGCCGCTGTGTGGACGGGCCGTAAGACATTTACATTTAATTACATATATTGAGTTTAGAAGATGACTTCAATCCACCATATTACTTATAAAAACAATACCTAGAAAAGTAATGATTGACTGACAATTCCATAGCCTATTTGTGTCTTTCCCATCAAGATTAAGACTTATCCTTGTGCACTTCCTTTATAATTTTAAGAATACTGTAACCACTTCAGAGCATATTCTAAAGCCTATTCACTGCTCCTAATGTGGGATTCTGTTTGAATTCAATATCTTAAATGTCACCACATGAAACACATAATCAGATAAAGTAAAACTGATCCTGCCCATTCGATGTCTGTGCACATTTTGTGAACTAAAGGCAGCACATTTTACTTTGCTGTGCTGCAGCTGTTTCAATAATACATTGCAGTCCTGTGGGGATCTCTTCTCATCCTTTTCAAATTGACTTCTGTATCAAGTAAGCCCACACTGAGAGAGTACTAAGAAAGTAACTGCGACCCTACAAATGCATAATGCTAAACACATATCAATTTATCATATTTAAAGGCTTGTGAAACTGCACATATACACTAATATGAATTAAATAAACACAGACACAAACACTGACGTAGGAATAGGTTTTTCAGTATGACTTATGATGCCTCCTACAACCTTTTCAAAATAATCAATTCCTCCTTCCCATCATACACAGCAGATATACAGCAGAGACTTCCCCTTTGAAACACAAACCGATCAATTATACTACACACAGCCTCCATCATTAAAAGATCCACCTCTGAACTTTGTGTTCAAGCTACAATTGCTTGTTTGAAATGGTAAAAAATGAGTGTGTGTAGATATTTGCGTGAGCGTGTGCATGGCTGTGTGCCACACTGATACTTCACTTATCATTGCATGCATAAATTACCAATGTTAATCTCCCGTATCAGATGGTCCCTCCAGTGTTTAGAGTTTGTTTGAATTCTAAAGCGTCGTTATTCTGACATTGCTTGACCCTGTTTTGTTTACTGCTTCTCAACTCTCTTCCAGAGGACTAGAGGTGAGAAAACTTATATTTATGACTCTGGGAGAACTTTTATTCAAGCTGTAATATATTGCATTTCAAATGCAAATTACCAAGGAACTGTTTAAGCATGGGTGGTCCAAGGGAGAACTAAAATCCCTCACGAGACTATTGAACACAACAAAGCCCTCAACCTCAAATATCCCATACATATTTCATACAATCACTGTTATGCATTGTTAAAGCATTTATACGGCATTCTGTGGCTACATACTGTATATACTGTAACATGTCCAAACAGGGCCATCTCACGCATCACAACCACAATAGAACTGGACATCACACACCCACTCCATCAGTACCACCCCCCCTGCGTAGGTACAGAATATAAAAATATAAAATGACTCACTTTGAAAAAAGCTTGACACCTCCAGCCATTGCTGCCGGCCTCACTGAGTGTAACTGCCATGTGTGTCTGCTGTTGTCTCTGTTATTGTTTATATAATGTATGTATATTGTGTACATGTACAGTGCTGTGCAAATAAATTCCCCCTGGGGACAATACATCTAATCTAATCAATCAATCAAAGTAAGGACATGTGTGTGGACAGTTTAGGTCAGAGATGTAGTACAAACAAAACAGTTGTTAAATAACAACTAAACTAAACTATTTCCGGGTTTGATTCGAGCAGTTTCAACATTTTACCTTGAGTGAATCCTGTGTGTCATCCAGGCAATAGACCCTGATGTGATAGTCCAAAGTGGTGCAGCAGACGGGTCCAAAAACAGCCAGTTTGAGCCTCTTGGCGGCTGCCTTGCAGATTGACTGCCCCACCAGGCAGTATGTCCCCAGTGTCTCTGTGAGTATGTGACATGCCTCAGACTCCATCTGCACATAGCAGGGGGTGGTGAAGTTTTCCTCTCCCACTATAACCACATCCTGCAGAAATGACACAAGCACACATATTTTTAGACTTTAAGAGTGTCATGCTGGGTCCATGATGGGCAGCTGAGACTGTGACTCTTTCGTCCTCTCAACTGAAGAAAGATCGAGAGCATTTAAGAAAGACTGCCTTCAAAAACAAGTCTTTACTTCTTATCACTGCTGTATGATAAGTATATGGAATTATTTATAATGGCCCTAAGTAGCCTGACTATTGTTTGATCTACTCCCTTGCATGTTCGCTATTGTCAAAGCAAACTCCAATGTTATAAAATCCAGGGAAAATTCACAACCTTTGTGACAACACCAATTCTGTTTTAAAACATACTTTCATCAACACACGTTTAACACAATATATATCCTTGTGCTGAAAAGAGAAACTGTGGAAATGTAGAATATTCTGAGTTTACACAGGTCATTTTGTTTACCCTTTTTTTATTTGGAAAGAGCCTTTATTTGTCTGTGCAGACTGCTTTTAGTGAAGCGTGGGCATTATTTAAATACTGCATTTATGTTTGGGATTAAGCCACATTCTGTTTGTTAACATAACACAACTGGACCAGCATTTGGAGCCATTTCCACTAATGCAAACAACACCCGAATAAACAGGCTGTGGTTTCTAAAGGAATGCTTTCCACTGTTGTTACAAACAGATATTTTTCTATGCAATGCCATTACTGATGTGTATAGAGATAGCTCTGTAGATATAAACTATTTTAAAGCAGAAGAAAGCCCAACCGCAAATGTTAAACCACTTTGACTTGTGGAACTTTTGAAGAGGATAGTAGGATTCATCTTAGAAGACCTTTAGTGGAATTTTGATTCACCACATTCTTTTATTTGTGTTGAGACACTGAATTGAAATGTTAACGCATGTCTGGATGTGAATATGTCTTTTGAAAGTAATCAAGGTGTCCATTAAGAGAATGATAACAATTGCTTGGAGCTGCCATCTGTGAAGTGTATCCAATCCCACTGTGATTATCTGCTGGCTGCTGCTCATATCACTACAGCTCTCTGTCACAGCCGGCGTTACGGTGAATCCATACGGCTATTTGGGTCGAGTGAGGATGCACAGGCTCTGTTCTTACCAAATGATTAACTAGTTGTGCACATATTTATGTTTTCTTGTGTGACCGTGAGTCATTGTGTGTTCATGTCTGTGAAAGCAAACATGTGTGATACAATTATCGAGCTTTAGACAAAGTTCATGTGGAGTTGTGTTCCTGCAGATGAGCAAGCCGAATCAATATAAGGAGGTAGAAAAAGCAATATGGTGAATCTGTTATTACTGTTCACAACTGTGGCTGCTCCCCCATGATGTGAGCGGAATTTAATTACCTTCTTCTCCCTATTTGGGGGAAAACTTTTTGATGGGAAATGGATGTTGTACTGCAATAAGAGAAAACAAATCGACTTCCTGATGAAATTCCACTTTTCATTTTTCTCATCTCTAGCCACTTTGCACCCGACCGCTTAACTCTCTCTCTCTCTCCCTCTCACAAAGACGCGCACACACACACACACACACACACACACACACACACACACACACACACACACACACACACACACACACACACTCTTATGCATGGCTAATTGCGCAGAGACATTGTGTTAAGCTGTGATAAGCAACAGAAGACAGCATACGGGAGCCTTGTAGACACAGTGATGCTGCAAGACAGCCTTATCACCGACACCCACACACACACTGATACACACACATGCACCCACACACAGGCAGAGAAACAGACAAACAAGCACTCATACGCGGCCACGCACACACAGGAACAGATTGCTGAGGTAGAGACTTCATGCTGAGAGACTTGGGAGGAGGGAGAAGGGGAAGACTAGAAAAAAGGAGGGATAGAAACATAAGAAGAAAGATGAGAGAAGAGGAGGATGGCAGGAGCATTACAAATTGCTTCTGATAGGAGTCTTCAACCCCCTGCTTGTCTGCTAGCCTGTAGGCACTTTGTGTTTACTGAATTATCTCCCTTTCCTTTCTTTCCCTCTCTCTCCTTCCCCGCATGCGTGGATGTGTAATGCAGGTTATTCTTCTGGAGGAAGACGATAATATATGTGTGCACGCATGTGTATTTAAACTGTGTGAGTAATACTGTGTACATGACTGTGTATTAATTATTTGGTTATGGCTGTGTGCAGGTGCATGGTTATTTTCTCTAAATGCATTATAAACAGACTTCCCTATGTCAGGATTATTTAGCTGCTGCTCATGTTGGTGCATCTAAATGTATCTCTTTGAACACTGGCAAAAAAGTAAAAGCTGCTTTCCTTTCCCAGCTAGTTCAGAAGTTGCACATTATCGGTCACTAAAAACAGAGCAACAACAAATACAGTGTTGAACACCCACCTCCCACTCTCCCATGGCCAGTTGGTTCCTCAGCTGTATGAGCCAGTCTTCCTGGACGTTGTCGGCACAGTGGTGGATGGTGAGGATTATCGGTCTGGTCAGCAGGGCTCCTGGAGGTCCACAACTCACCACCGGACTCAGCACCGTCTGGATGTCCTCTACTGGGGGTCTGAAAAAGTCAGATAACACAGAGGAGAGATGATTCCTCAGAAAAGAGCGACACAAAGGCTGCACTGTTGCTACCAGTTAGTGGGATCATCAACTGCAATCTGTTTTATTCTTCATAATGTTCATATATGAAAACTCTTAGCTGGTATTACACATTTTAAGCAGGCAGGTAGTCAGTTAGGTAATAATAGAATAGATAAACTAAGAGTACATGAAAATATCAGGGAATAAAACAGATCAGAGAAGAGTAGCACAGAAAATCAATCAGAGGATGATTAGTGGAGTCAGCGGGGCTGCAGCTGGAGTCAGTGGTTTACTGATCATGAGCAGAAAATAAATGAGTACAGGCTACCGGCTCTCCTGCTTTTACAGAAACCTCAAGTATAGGAACCTCAATTACCTGCTTACTAATGTATCTTACAATACAGCAGCATTTGTAAGATGTGATGTTATACATAGTAAACTCCAGTATTTCAGTATTTGATCATCTATAATTATATATTAGATATATATCACTGATTGACATAATAACATAAATAACACCTACAGAGATACTGGGAATTAAGGATTTGGCTGGGAGTCAATCTTAAAGTGTATATGTGTATTCATATAATAATAATACTTTTTTACATATCTATTGTTATTTGTACGTTTGTTTTCATATACATATAGAGTAAACAGTAGATTGCATATTAAAATAACTCTAAAAATGTCATGTGTAATCCATTATCCAGTCATTTTCTTCTCTCATGTTGCTGAAGATATCTATTGTCTGGGAAAGAAGCCCAGATGATGGATCTTAATTTCAGCAGTATTATTGATTTGACAGTTGAAGCTCATTATTGACTCATGATGGGTTCACATGGGTCTGAGAAGCCCACAGATAAAACAGTAGGATTCAAACACACCCGTTGACTTACCTATGCAGGGTTAGGGTCAGCCCTTAATGCAATGCAGTTGTATCGATTGGTAAGGTTATGAATCTTGTTTCATACAAATAGAATATACATGTATACATGCATGGAAACACACACCTGAGGGTAATAATATAATCTTTCTGGCTTGCCAAGTGTTACTAAGGCAAGTCAATGAAGCTGAAGAAATGAAGACAGAGGACATAGAAGAGGTTTGACTCTGAGAAATACAGTAGCACACTGCAGGGGGCCTAAGCCTTATTGACTGCTATTGATTGGGGATAAGCTAGAAAGGAAGCATGGGATAGAATACATGAAGCACAGTGTAACAAGCGTCCTAAAGCTCTGTGCCTGGCTGCATAAACTGCCTTGAGTTTCAAACCCAAGGGTGTCCCTTAAGCAAAATATGACATTAAGCCCAGTGGCTAATTTAGAAGTGTCGCATGAAGCCTTCGAGTTTAGACCAAGGTTTTAATGGTGCACCTCATATACTATTGCTACGCATCACTCACTTTAAAGTCACTTGTCAATCTTAGTGTCAGTTATGGTAAGCTTCTTCAAAAGGGACAAGAAAGATAAAACTAAAATAAATCCAAACTGGACAGACAAGAAACATGCAGTTATTCTCCAAAAATGTGGTATAAATATAATATAATCATTCATTTGTATAATATAATACTAAAATAAACATTTGACGATAGATTGACAGTCAAAATTATAATCTGTAAAACGTTGAATATCACTCATAGTGTCTAGTGGGTTTCCCCTGTCCTGAAGAATGTGTGTTGGTTTCTTCTACAAACAGTGTCCATAAAGTAAGGTTATAGTGGATAATACACAAACCGTTCAGCAAACAGTTTTCCAATGGAACTTTAATGTAATAATGAAAATGGCAAACTAATGCTGCTTTTGAATTATTAGTTTTCCTTTCAGGAACAAACAAAATTCACTTCCATTGTACTTGGGCGGACGGAGACATCTTGGAAACATATCTGACAACCAAAACAAAACAAAACCAGTTGTACAGACTAAAATCACTATGTGAAAATATATTTGGCTCTAGAGACAACATGTGACAGAAAACATACTGACTAGTCTCTTTCTCTCTCAACAGTATGATAAATAAATGAATATATATGTGGCTATTTATGGTTACCTTTGAATAGAGTGCCGATATTATCTCTAAATTAGCTTTGAATTAATAATTATACGCTGCTGGAATATAGACATTTTCTCTCTTGTCTCTCATGTCCCACTGAGAGCTTTGCCTCACTGATGCACAGGGTTTGGAAGTAAAGGATTATAGTACATGTAACAGGATTATAGTAATCCCAAAAATAACCACTAATCTGTTAGTTAGTGTGGAAACAGCAATCTCTATGCTGTCAAAAGCTTGGTGTTAGTTTTTTTCTTTGCAGTTAACAAACGTTTCACACATCTAGAAATGATGGCTGTTATGCGCTTTGGCTAATCACACTGACTCTTAAATGACTCTAAATTAAACAATATTGATTCACTTAGAACATTATGTGGATTACTGTGCAGATTAATATGTTAAGTAGGTAATAACTAATGTGTAAAATCCCTTATAATCTTCTCAACATTAATTATTGAACCAATATAGGAAAGCTGTGGTATTAGCTGACCTCTGGTAGATGAATCACCAAAATAATGTCTTCATAGATGCACTATTCACTATAAATTAGGGCTGTCAAACGATTACACATTTTAATCAGATTAATCACAGCTTAAAAATTAATTAATCATGATTAATCACCATTCGAACTATGTCCAAAATATGCCATTTATTTATGTATATTGTTGTGGGAATGCAAAGATAAATGAAAGAAGGCGGATATATCCATTTAACATACAGTATCTATGTTTATTATAAAAATGTTCTGCGTGTCAAAATGAAAGACAACCCACACACCTATCAATCATCAAACCGTGGGGTCTTAATTCATTACAGTGTTGATTTCTATCAACGGGGAAGTACTTCAGGAAAGTCGACAGAGGGGGGGGGGCGGCGGCGGCTGCTAGTGGAGTACTTCGTGACCACAGAGTGTGAACGTTGTGATCAGCTGTTTTAGCGCAGTTCTCCAGTGAAGGGGGGGAGTCTCCCTCCGCAGCCGGTTGGCGTAGTTTTGGCACAATTCCGTTGTACAGACCGACGTTAACAGCAGCCCTGTCTGTGCACACGGAGACCGACTCTGTCGTCCGGTGATCTAACCACCTTCTGGAAAAGCTTCACAAGTACGTCGGTACGCAAATGCGCTTTGTGACACAAGTGACGGTACGCATTTCAGAGAGATTACGCACATAACCTGCGTACCAGTTATGTGCACCCCTGTACTACAGCAAAAGTATTCTCCGTCGGGACTTCCTGCAACAACACCACGCCGTTATCAAAGATGTTCTATTGAGAAGACGATCACTACGTGACAAAAGTTTTCAAAACCGTGGCTCCTGAAATCAATCTTACTAACTGCTGTCTGTGCAATTTACTCCGCGCGAGTTGGCAGACTTTATTTTGCTTACTTTAACATCATTTTTCATGGTGGGGCTAAGCCATTTCTGGTGTAGCCTACCCCAGCCATACCCTGGCGCTGCCACTGGTGGCATGTATGGGGCGGGCCATTCTGCACATGCGTTAAATGCGTTAAATATTTTAACGCAATTAATTCAAAAAATTAATTACCGCCGTTAACGCGATAATTTTGACAGCACTACTATAAATACAAATTATTCATCCACTGTTGTGCATCCTAGGCCCCCTTGTCACACTGTGAAAGCCTCCCCACGCAAACATTCAAACAGGTCTGAGAAGTGCAGACAAGAAAAATAAAGAAAATAAAAAGGACATAACAAGAGATGAAGAGATAAGGAGAATAATGGCAACAACAGAGGAACACAGAGGAACACAAAAGCCACAGAGAAGAAAAGTGAGGGTAAAACGTACCTCAAGCTGTCCTTCCTGTGCACAGTCACATACATCTCGTAGACCCTCCCCTGAGGAACAGCCCCCGCTGGAACCAGCAGACTCACACCTGCAGGAAAGAGGACAGGGAGAGCAGGAAGGGAGGCGGAAATAATCAGTTTCATCCCTGGATTTATACATTTCAACATGCACAACTGAATTATTGAATGTGCAACCCATTATCATTTTATCATTATGATTAATTATTGAATCATCATTTTTAAAGGCAACCTGTGATAAAACGTTCTCCTAAATATATCATCAAGTGAATTGTGGTGGCTTCTGAGAGCTGCTCCCTATCAGCAGGTTACATTATTCATTATATGTGTCTGCACACTGCTTTTAAATCCTACCATAAGTCTACTGAAATTATTTTTTTTTACAAGGTAGCATGAAACATCTCAAGGTTGTTTTGTCTTTTGTTTAAACTTGACTTTGCAGGATTGGTCAACTTTAGTGCAGGCAATGCATTTCATCTTCATTAAATCTAAAATACCTATTTAACTATTTTTATTTATGATAAACTTTGATGTCATTATTACTATGTATAGATGTTTAGGTTATGTAATTGTTACTATTTGTGTATATAATCAAACACAAATCAAATTTGCACCCTCTTGCATTGACTCTGTACCACCTCTAAAATTGGCCTTTGGAGTCACCGCTGGTTACTGCATCATCATTAGACAGTTACCAGATTCATGTTAAGTGTGTGTAGAAAGTCTACCAGAGTTGGCTACAATGAGGTGTCCTCCCTGGTTGTTGAAGGATCCGTGAGCGGTACAGGAAGGGTCCCGTGTTCGGGCCAAGCTCTGGTTGCGAAGGTTCATGGTGTCGCTGTTATCCAACAGAGACTGAGTTACCTAGGAATAAAATACAACGGTCTTAATGTCAGAATTAAAGGGCAACACATGCTTTTTCAGTATTGGGAATGACAATCTCCAATAGATAATGGAATGGATAAAGTTATTAAAATAAAAATAAAACATTACACAGGGTTAGGGCTAACACAGTTACTAAGCAGCAGAGAGGCATTAACCTGATAATGGGGTTATTGAGGAAGTCAATGGTTTGTTCTGTTAGTGTGCTTAGTGAGACTTATAATGAGGTCAGGCATTAATCACAGTTACACACTGCATCCTACAACATGTAAAAGCAAGATGCACCCATTGTGTGTGGAGGCTGGAAGACCAGGCTTCCATTCTGGGGTCCAGAGAAGTTTCACTAAGGCCAATCTCTGGTTGTAAAGGTCATTGTAGTTTTATTTTTGTGCCAGCATTGCCAGCATTGGAATAGGAATATGTTAATGCTCTCTATCAAAAATAATTTCCATGCATTTGCCTAGCTGTTGCCTTTTATTTTCATTTTCTCCTGGTACCAATCAAATAAAAGGCTAAGAAGACAATGCGTATAACTACAAGACGCATTGTCAACCTTCTTATCTTTCTTACAGTGCAGACGCTTTTCCGCTTGCTCTTGCCTCTGCTTACTTTTTATGCTGATTTTCCTATTCTTATTCTCTGAAAACTTTGAGCAGCGGCTCCTGGACATTAACTTATCACTGGGACAGTTATTCTTCGTAAATAGACGGAGGGTTTTAGCCATATTTCAAAAAAATTACGACGACCTCAGTCTTACAGTAGCGTGGCCTAGCGACAGCTAAAGCCTGGTAGGCTACTCCATGCTATTTAGCCTAAGCTAGTTGGTAGCAAAATGCCTCCGTTCTCTACAGATGACTTCCACAAACTTCTACAGAAGATGGCTGTGTTGGAAATGAAAACGCAACAGTTGGAAGTTAACGTGGAAGTGAATGGACTATGTCGTGGGAATGACACCACTTTACCAGTGTTGCAAAAATAATGGAAAAGGGTATGCTAACTCACAGCTAGTTAGCAGCTACAAGGATTCCAAGGAACAGGAGGGCTGTGTACTGGGTAATAAATCTACAAGTGGTAATCCTCCCTGGAACTCTCTGGGTGCAAAGCCTAAGAGTAAATCATTTCCATGGGATTTGGGAGGACGAATAACAGGCAGAGAGCCTGAAATCTGTGATGCGACCGGCTGGCCTGCATTGTTATCACCCAGGAAGAGTGCCTCTTCAACCCCTATTCATACTAGGAAACAGCTGTGGACAGCTGCTAAAGGGAGAACCACAAACAATCCTCCTAAACCACCAAGTGTGCCAATTCAGAACAGATACGCTCCGCTGCCCGAGAACCGGAGATCTCTTTCTGATGACCTGGATAACCTATCCTCTTCACACAGCAGGGTAAGGACCAATAGCTACTCCAAAAGTAAAAGACTAGAGGGAAAGCTAACGACTGGGCCTGAAACTCTGATTGTGGGTGACTCTGCTGTAAGAGATGTAAAAAGTCTGTGTAATAAGAACAACACCAAAGTACTCTGTTTTCCCAAGGATATGGTCTCTGACTTGGCTGAGAAGATCCTGCATATTGGGGCTGAACATCCGACTGTGAAGAATGTGGTACTACATATTGGAACAAATGATGTTGTTACAACAGTCAGAAGTGCTGAAAGAAGACTTTAAATGTCTGTTGGAAACTGTCAGCTCTCTAAATGTGGAGGTGTTCATCAGTGGCCCTCTACCGCCAGTCAGAAGAGGAGTTGAGAGATTCAGCAGACTGTTTGCACTGAACACGTGGCTTTCAACTGCCTGTACTGACCATTCTGTCCATTTTATTGACAATTTTAACTTTTTCTGGGATCGCAGACATCTTTTTAAGGCAAATGGAGTTTGCCTGAACAAGTCAGGAGTGAAATTGTTTATCACTCTAACATATTCAACTGCCTGCGTCATCAATCTGTTCCCTCTGCCAAGGACAAGCGACAAGAGGAATCAAAACAGGAGAAAGACACAACACATCGCGCAAAAAACCCTGAAATATCACTGCACCCGCCTGAGGAATGTTCTGATTATGGAAGACCTATGACACAAATGGAGGAGTCTCCACTGCCCGTCACCCCCCCTGTCAACGCCTTTGAGGATACTCTTCATTCATCCCCCAGCTCTCTCTACTCTCCGCTCACCCTTTCACCCTCGCCCTCCCCCCTGGAGTTCGATGACCGCATGAAGGCGAAATGCAGGGTTGGCAGCATGTCCTTTACCCCCGCCCCTCAACGACGCCCACCAATATCACAGAAGACAAGGAATGCACCATCTCCCCCGTCTTCATCACCATGCCTACCACAATCATCCAAACCAAAACAATACAAGGAAGATGGAAGCAGATTTCCAAACCCCCCTTCCTACAGTGTAGCCCTCACCCTGCCCTCCTATGATGAGAGGAGCAGGGTGGTGGGTCCTCCCTTCCCTTCAAAGCCTGATAGGGATGTGTGTGTACAAAACGCTGCAAACTGATATTTGCTGGGTCCAGGCTCAAGGGCGTATGGCACTCTCAACTTTTTCAAGGACACGCCGGGGCCCTTCCTGCAGTGGCTTTGCCGATATCTGTGTTGATAGGTAATAGATTAAGAGCAGTGAATCATCTTAGATACAGGAAGCGTTCAAACATTTGTGTGAGTTTATCAAATTTAGCAGTGATTCCATGTCAGCCACAGCTTGTTACAAAAAAACCTGACTGATAGTGTGTTTAACAAACTTAAACTAGCTTTATTAAATGTCAGGTCTTTGGCTGGAAAAACATTTGTAATCAATGATTTTATCACTGAGCACAATCTCGATTTTATGTTCTTAACAGAAACTTGGATTTAACAAAATAACAGTGCAGCTGTTCTTATCGAATCAACCCCTCCCAACTTTAGTTTTATGAGTCAGGAAAGAATGCATAAGAAAGGGGGTGGAGTTGCTATTCTGTTCAATGATTCCCTTCAATGCAGGAAGACAACTTATGGGAACTTTGTTTCTTTTGAATATGTGGCCCTTCAGCTGAAATGCTCCTCTCGAGCTCTGTTCCTAAATATCTATAGACCACCCAAATACTGTGCAAGCTTTTTTGATGATTTTACCGAGTTGCTGTCTATAGTGTGTATTGACTTTGACCGTCTAGTCATTGTTGGTGATTTTAACATCCATGTTGACAACCCCCAGGACAGAGGGGCTAAAGTTGTGTTCTTGATAGCTATGGACTGACTCAGCATGTGACGCTGAATAAGGGGCACACTCTGGACTTAATTATCTCAAAGGGTCTGAATATCTCTAAGGTTGTGGTGACTGATGTTGCACTCTCTGACCATTCCTGTGCTTTCTTTGAGAGCTCTATTTCTGTTCACAAAAATGTTCAAAAAGAGGTAACCACAAAGCGATATTTAACTGAAAATACTAGGGAAATGTTTACTCAGAATTTTTCTTCCACACTTGCCCCTGCTAACATCTCAGTAAATGAGCTAGTAGATAATTTTAATTCAAAAATTAAAAATGTTATAGATGCCATTGCTCCAACTAGGGTAAAGGAAGTGTCTGGCAAGAAAATATCTCCATGGAGAAAGGCCATGACCGTGAAAAAAGAGAATGTCGAAAAGCTGAACGCAGGTGGTGAAAAACAAATCTCCAGGTTCACTTTGAAATCTATAAAGAGAGACTTGGCCTTTATAATTTGGAATTGAAAAATGCACGACAGTCTTTCTTCTCTGACATCATTACCAAAAACAACGCACGTGCCTTGTTTGCTACCGTCGACAGTCTAACTAACCCCCCAGTGTCAGTAGCCTCTGAATTTCTATCCACCAGGGCGTGCAATGATTTTGCCTCCTTCTTCACTGACTAAATTCAGAAAATCAGACAAGCAGTCAGTGCCTCTGCATCAGGTACAGCAAATGTGTTGTCCCTATGTCCACCTAATATCAATTCAGACATCATGACACAATTCTATCAGATTAATGATAAAAACCTAGAGGACATTATTCAACTTCTGAAATCTTCTGCTGCCTTGATATTATTCCAACAGGATTTTTCAAAGATGTTTTTCCTTGCATGGCCTCAGATCTACTTCATATAGTAAACAAATCTCTTCACTCAGGTATTTTTACACAGGCCCTGAAAACTGCAGTCATTAAACCGCTCTTAAAAAAGAATAATCTAGATGCTTCAGTAATGAACAATTACCCATATCAAACCTGCCATTTCTGGGTAAAATCATTGAAAAAGTTGTTTTTCAACAGTTGAGTAACTTCTTGCATTTAAATAACTGTTTCGATGTGTTCCAGTCAGGCTTTCGTCCAAACCACAGCACTGAGACTGCTCTTGTAAAGGTCTTCAATGACATCCACTGACATCCAACACAGACAGTGGCAGAACTTCAGTGTTAGTATTATTAGATCTCAGTGCTGCGTTTGACACTGTTGACCACAACATATTACTAGACCGACTGGAAAACTGGGTGGGACTTTCGGAAACAGTTCTAAATTGGTTTGAATCCTACTTAAAGGACAGAACCAACTTTGTTTCTATAGGTAAATACACATCTGAGTTGACAAATATGACATGTGGGGTACCTCAAGGCTCCATCTTGGGGCCTCTTCTCTTTAACGTCTACATGCTACCACTGGCTCAGATAATGAAGAACAACAAAATAAGTTACCATAGCTATGCGGATGACACACACATTTACGTAACAATTTCACCAGGAGACTATGCTCCAATTCAAACACTGAGTGAGTGCATTGAACAAATCAATGACTGGATGTGTCAGAACTTTTTCCAATTAAACAAAGATAAAACTGAGGTAATGGTTTTTGGAGCCAAGGCAGAATGTATAAAAGTTAGCGCTGAGCTTCAGTCTGCAATATTCAAAACAACAGATAAAGCCAGAAATCTAGGTGTAGTCATGGACTCTGACCTGAGTTTCAACAGTCACATTAAAACAGTTACTAAATCTGCCTACTATCACCTAAAGAATATATCTAGGATTAAAAGACTAATGTCACAGCAGGCTTTGGAAAAACGTGTCCATGCTTTTATCTTCAGTAGACTCGACTACTGCAATGGTGTCTTCACAGGTCTCACTAAAAAATCTATTAGAAAGCTGCAGCTGATTCAGAACGCCGCTGCTCGAGTCCTCACTAATACTAAGAAAGTGGATCACATCACTCGTGTTCTGAAGTCTTTACACTGGCTTCCTGTGTGTCAAAGAATGTATTTCAAAATACTGCTGCTGGTTTATAAAGCACTGAATGGTTTAGGCCCAAAATACATTTCTGACCTCCTGCTAAATTATGAACCATCCAGATCTCTCAGGTCATCAGGGACTGGTCAGCTTTCTGTCCCCAGAGTCAGAACTAAACATGGTAAAGCAGGGTTCAGTTGTTATGCTCCAAATATCTGGAACAAACTCCCAGAAACCTGCAGGTTCGCTGCAACTCTTACTACTTTTAAATCCAGGCTGAAGACTTTTCTTTTTGTCGCTGCTTTTAATTGAACTATTCACATCTTAGACTGCACTGTAACTTTTATCCATGTATTTTTTTCTTTTAATGTTTATTTTATTATCTTATCTTTTTAATGACTGATTTTAAATGCCATTTTCTTAATGTCTTTCATTTTTTTGGAAAGCACTTTGAATTGCCTTGTGTTGAAAGGTGCTATATAAATAAACTTGCCTTGCCTTACAAGCGCTGTCACAGGGCTGAAAAAAGAGGGCGGATTTAAAGTAAACCTATGAAACCACCTAAGGGTAAGAGGTAATATATCACGTGTAATATTTCCCTTTCCAAATGTCCACTGTGAGTTGTTAAATAAGTACTAAACATTCAGTAGTAATATTCTCAAATTAGCGAGGGAAAGTCAATCAGGTGGTCCAAAAGTACACGATTAACAACACCAATTATAACAGAGAAAATGATCAAATAGAAGTGCCACTGACATGTGAAGCTCAAAGATAGTGAGTTCAGCACTCATACCGCCTCAAGACAGGTAAAGTGATGAAACAGAGTCGTTTCATCTGCATTTGTGACAAGTGATTCTCGTATGCATGCCATGTAGTTGACAGAGCAGAGGGAGGAAACTGGTGCACTGAGCTGCATGTATACTAATGCTGTTTGCTTTTGTATGTATGTGCCTGGGAATACATAGTGTTTCAGAACTCTATGCTTCTGCAGATCAGGAGAAAATATTTCAAAATCCTACTGTTAACTGTGATTATGATTATATTGACTGTTTATGTTTTTTTTTTAACTCATGTTCAATGCCTTGTTAACATGCTATTGTAACAAAACCATCTTACAATATTGAAATCATACAGAATACTTTTAAGTTAAAGTCATACAAGTGGATGAAGGTTACTGACGTTAGACTGAGGAAGACTCTCATTACCTTAGGAGACAGTTTGGATGTGAAGTCCCCCCCGAGGTCATCCTGTGGTGTGACCAGACCAGAAGAATTGTACACTTTGATCTTTAGGTTGGGAAGAGGATCCAGCAGAGGGGAGTTGGTCATTGGGATTTTATCCGAGACATCATGGAGAGCGTACACTGGACCTCGATACATGGCAGCTGCATTTGTCAAGTCAGGAGGAGCCGTCAGTAGATCAGCTGGAGGGATAAAGTGGAGAGAGAGCAAGGGACATGGTGAAGGGAAGGAGAAAGGAATGAGAAAGAACAACTTTAATAGCACTGCCAGATTGTTCGGCTAACAGCTGATAGTGGTGTCTGAAGAAGAGACGGAAAATAAAGGGTAAAGCTTAAATAAACACATAATAAATGCTCAACAAATAAATAAATGGTTCATTTATTCTTTAAGTTTTCATCTTACTCTATACCTTTAACAGTTTAAACCTCAACACATGGCTGCAGTATCGAACAGATGTAGGGGACTCGTAGATCAGTTAACAGGGATAACAGGAGTAAGATGAGAGCAGACGAGGCTACTGATAAGGTATCAGTGACAGGAATGATACATTACAGTACACAGGGGCATGACCCGGATCAAAGACCGGTCATGGCTGCTGCACAGAGAGCCAGAGAGAGTCCCTTTTAAAGTGTTGCTCAGAGTTCATCAAACACATATATATATATATATATTTAAATCTGTACCTTAATAAAACAAACTCTTTACACTGTATAACATTAACAAAGCAAGTGTTAAAAAGTATGAAAAACATTCCATGTTTAAACCTTTTTCACACGTTGTCACTGCCTGACTTCACCCACACAATCAAGGGAGCTGTCACAGTAACCACATTGCTGTCCATTTTCAAAATGCTTACTATGTCATGATTGAAATCGGACTGACAAAACCTCCCAGCACATTTACCACAGAATATGACTAATTAATGAACACTGGCAATTGTTAAGACTGATCTATTTGGGCTCAGTTAATTCACACTTATCCTGTTCTCCTCGATGTGTTACACAGATAGTAAAAGGGACTTACATGATATAAAAGGGTATTGATAAGTAAGACCAAGAGTATGTTGATTTCATAATGCAAGTACCTTCTTATACCTTTTTACATTGCTTCATTCTTTTGGCTCCTAACCTTTCTGACTTAAATATAGTAGGTATATATATGAGGTCTTGATGTTTTGCAGAACATTCTCAATAACACACAGTATTTTTAATCAAGAAGCTAAAAACCTTTAGCAGCGAATTCACACTTTAACAACAATGACTTCATTTTAGAATATTTCATCTAAATGTAATTCTTACTTCCTTCTATGTATTTGGAAAGATGCTGCAGGCAAGTGCTACTGATTGTAATAATAACACATTTGGCAATATCACCAAAAGTAAATCCTACATATGGATTTACTTTAAAAAGACGAAAGTGAGTATGCTCCGAGCAAACCCCATAACACAACAAGGTCAGTCACTCTTGTTTCTAGTTTTGTTATTCCACCATAACCCTTTTTAGTTTAACACAATTTACTCTAAGGCCAGACAAAACATCTAAAGTGTTCTCCCCTTCTTACTTCCACCAGAAAATCCAACATGTATCTGAGATTTAATTGGAAACAGGACCATAGGAAGGCCAGTTACCTACTGAGAACAATTCCACATTGTTTCACTCCAGAGCCTGAAATCCTGTTGTTCCCTCCATGAGCTCATCTATTCTAATTTTGAAATCTACACACACACATCTGTCACCCATCACTCTTTTTCTCTCTCGATCACAAGGCTGTTTACCCTTAAAGCCAGTGGGTATTCCTGCCAAATCATCCCTGCTGAAATGTAATTAACAGCTAACGGAAAGCCACAGAGTGAGAGAGAGAGCGAGAGACTGAGAAAGAGAGAAATAGTCAGAGGGTGACAGAGCGAGGGTGATGCAGGGACATAATTCTTCATTAATAGTAACCGTAGATGACCCCTTGAGGAAGAGTGACAAGCATCCTAGTGCTTTCCTGATAAAATGTCACCCGATTTCTGCTTATTCGAAGGCATTCGCCCTTGTACACATATAGCACATGTACACATGTACATATAGCAACCTATTAAGGTTTCCTATAAAAGGTGTTCAGAGTAGCACCATATTGTTTGCAGATGTCACTCAACTTGATTAACACAAAATCCGTGGCAAATACGTAACCTCTTTTTAAATGGAAAATATCATGTACTAATAAGTAACACTTTAACGCTTGTTTTTTCAGTAAGTTTTAAAAAGAATGTTCAGTATATCATTCTAATTTGTGGTTGGGTATTAGTTACATATGTATGTGGAGGCGTGTGGCGCAGTGGATAGAGCCTTGGTGTTGGGATCAGGGTTCACAGGTTCAAACCCCGCTGCAGTCAGCATGTCGTTGTGTCCCTGGGCAAGACACTTCATCCCAAATGGCTCCTGTGGGGATTGCCCACAGTATTGAGTATGTAAGTCGCTTTGGATAAAAGCATCTAACAAGTGACATGTAATGTAATGTTTGTTTACATGCCCACTGTCTAATTTTTGCAAGGGATGAGGACTTATAATACTGTTATGGAAAGAAGTTTATTAGGCCGGTAGACTGATCCCTGATTCATTTACATTTCCTTTTCAATCTTGGCATTTCCAGTAAGCGATTGCATGCATGCACACAGGTGTACAAGTGTGTGCGGCTGTGTGCTTCTTGTTGTTTTATCCATTTCCCAAAGACAGAGAGGTAGAAATGACAACATAGACAGAGGAGAGTGAAATATGGCTCCACTTTAACAGGAAGACAAACAGGACGGGAGTGTCTGTAGCAGTAGTAGTCACTGTGATGGGAGAGAGACAGAGACACGGCGACGGGGAGACAGAGACACAGAGACGGAGAGAGGAGAATGCTGATAAACAGGAAATGTGATTGACCTGAATGTGTAGATGGGAAAGAAGGAGTGAGACGGAGAAAGAGAATGGCAGAGAGTAACTCCTTGATGGAAGAGAGTGGTCTCTGGTAGAGACAGATATAAATCTAAAGCAGCCAAGATTGACAGCCGTAGGACGAGCAGAGAAACAAAATTATGCTAAAAGCCTCAAAAAGGCATGGTGCAGGTACAGTTATTTTCATAGAGGTCTATCTATCTATACATCTATATGACTATGAATCTATCTATCTACCTTCCAATACGAAATCCATGACAAAATGACTCTACTTCTCACTTGTTTTATTACCTCAGTAAACAATCTTAATTGTGTTTTTTCAAATGTTCTTCAATTATATTTATTTTGAAAATCAATGCAATTTAGAGTAACTTCTTTAAGACGGATAATAATCAGTGTTTCTACTTGAGTTTTGTACTACAGTGTTATTTTCAGCGTGAATACAATGTCATTTTCTGGAACATTCCTTACCTGATCTGGCTGTTTTGATATTCACAGACTGGAAGCCTCCATTTAGTGCTGAGGTGTCGATGATGTCCGAGTCAAAGTCACGGTGTGTCTTGCGGTAGACGAAGAGTGCCACGATGACAGAGATGACGAGGCACATAATCACTGCGATGACAATGCCCACGTAGAGCGCTACATCATCTGTACTCGGAGCAGCTAGAGGGGACACAAACAAAGAACAGAGATGAAATTACAGACACACAGATAATGTGAAGAATAAAGCCAAATACAATCTTAAGATATATGAATATAGTGCCACTTGTCTACTTAAATGTAGGATATAAACAGCTACATACATGATATCTCTAGCAGCAGCGCAGCAAATAAAACAAGACAAGATGAAATGTGCTGCAGGCTTCAAATAAACAAGATATGGCTCTCTGTCGTTCTTTATTTGTGTTTTAGAATTTCACATTGACCTCAGACCACCTATCATAGCTGTTAAGGTTATGTTGCATTCAAATAAAACTTTCAATTAGCCCCCAGCTTTTGTAATATGATCATTTGTCTAGACAGAGGTAGAGAGACACAGAGACCTCTTTCATCGAAATAAAAAACGGTAGCAACTATTAAAACTTAATAAGGCTGTTAATTATTTTACAAGGGTCCTAACATCCTTTTTCAATCTGGCTGAGCCTTTAATCTTGTTCCAGTGAGAACAGCGTTGCAACTGCCATCCGTGATCCATATTTTAGAGCAGAACATTTGAATTGATGGCAAAAGGTATGAGCCGAGCTTAAGGATAAAGTGGAGAGGAGATGAGTAAATGATGAGAGGAGACTATTTAAAAGCACAAGCGAGGAATGATGAGGAGGAAATAAGAGGGAATGCCAATAAGTGGAGAGGAATATAGAAAAAAGAGGACTTCAAAGCAGATGTGGCGACAACCAAAAAGGAAAAGGGAGTTAAATAAAGATAATAACAGAAACATGTAAAAAAGAGAATAAGGAATAGGGAAGATGAGAGAGGAATAAAGTAGGGCACAATACAGGGCAGAGAGGAGAAGAGAGGAGAACACTTTTTTGAGTAGTCTTACACTTAGCCCTCCTTGTATAATCACTTCCTCTGTAGCTGGTAGGAAGGGATTTGTCTGCAGCTATTAAGAAATAGGCATAAAAGTATAGGAATGCTCCTTTTAATCTGCCCTTAAAGTCGAGAGGCAGATAACAGGCTTCTAGCTACAAACAGCCTGAGTCATTCGCTTAAGGATTTGCTGTTGTCACATCAGAACGAGTTCAGAAAGCATGAGCTTGATTATGCATGACGAATCCTTTGATGAGGCACACACACATTCACACTCACATATGCCTAAGCATGATACACACATTCACTGAAGAGGGGTCACACCTGATGGTGTTAGTTACTCATCTACCACTTGAGGGAGCTATGATCCACTTCCTGTGTCTCTGGGGAGCTGAGCGTGAGGGCAAAGCATTTCCCTCTTAATTAAGTGATGACTGAAATGAACCAAATGTCTAAAGGCCCAGGAGTCCAGGACATAGAATAACAGCATACACAGAAGGTTTCGAAATCCAAGTGTTTAAAGCTTTTCTGAAACTGAATAAAGTTCAGGTCAAGTAACATTATCTTCTTAGGAAAGAAAAAAAATCATATTTAAGTGATATTTGTCTTGTTTACAAGATAAAGCCTATTTTGAAACTTACTGAAGCTAAATGTTAGTTTAAGAACCTATTAAAAGCTACATTAATTGTCAAAACATCACTCAGCTATTAAGATCCTTTGTATTTTAGGTTATCTTTGCTATCATCTCCTCAATTGTGAGTATTTTCTCCTTTGTCATTATGTCATTATGTTATATGTGTGTTGTCTTATGGTATAGTTAACAGAATATCTTCGTCTGATGGACTGCAACATGGGAAAACGTCTCTTGATTGCCCATCACGAAAATTGTGATGGCCATTTTTTTAATGAACGGAACAGCAAATTGATTAATCAACAAGAATCGTTGTTTCCAGTTCTAAACATAACGTTCGTAACATCCGTTTAACTTTAAATGTGGAAAAAGATGCTTAACAATGTGTCACATAAACCAGATTGCGTTTTGGGGAAACAACACATTGTAATACTTCATGTTTACAGCTCCAGAGTTTGTACTCTTTCCACCAAGATTTCTGCCAAATGCCTATTCATGAAATTTAACTAAATTTAAGAGCACAACCTTTAAATCTTGAAACGTTTAACCCCTATGGATTTTTCTCTTATGCAGGTTCCTTTTGAGGTTAACACATTGATGTAAAAAAGCTCAAAAAACTCTGCTGCATTAAGTTACCCTGTTATCAAGGTCCTTACACTTGCCAAAGGGGAATATCATTGGGTAATCCTCTTAAGAACCAACTCCCTGATCTTAATTATGATCATTCTCATCTATTTAGGGAATCTTTATCATGTTTCTACTTTAACTTGAAGGTCTACAACAGGGGAGCCCAACCAGTCGATCGCGATCGACCGGTAGATCGCGAGGAGATTCCCAGTCGATCGCGAGATGTGTCTAAAAATAGAACAACAACATTCTGTTTTATCATTAATGTCCTGTAACATAATGTTCCTGTGCCAGAATAATGCACTTGAACGCATCAAAGCTTTGTGATTGGCCGGCGTGACCCCATGTGTCGGGGCGTGGCTGGTGGGCAGTGCACTATTTTCGCTGACGTTGTTGTCCGTGTCAACAGGAGTGACAGTAAAAAAGCAAAAAAGCCCAAAATATATAATTTTCACTCCGAGTGGGAGGATGATTATTTTTGTATCTATTCCAATTCAAAGTCCATCTGTCTCATCTGCAATGCGAGCGTGGCTTTATCGAAGAAGGGTAATTTAGGAGCGGCATTTCAAAACAGTGCACAAACGCTACGAGACGGAATTCCCTCCTAATTCTGCCCTACGCTCCCAAAAGGGGAGGGGCCTGAAAGGACAGCTAAATGCACAGCAGTCCATTTTCACCAGGCCCAAGAACAAGAGCAAGGCTGCTACCATAGCATCTTATCGTGTTAGTCACGTTCTTGCGAAACACATGAAGTCTTTCAAAGACGGCGAAGTTGTGAAAGAAGCATTCCTGGAGGCTGCCGACGCGCTTTTGGGGGACAGTAAAAAATAACAGTAGTATTTCAACAGGTTTTTGATATAATAAAAACTCAAGTTAGATACCGTTATTAATCAGCTGTAAGTTTTAGTTTGTTTGAACTTATTCATTATAATTATTGTACACAATGGTATAAGAATGCAAACATTAAGATCTGTTGTTTAAATTGATTATAGTCTATTATCAATTCAGGTTAAGAAACTAGTGTTGCTTGCATCCTATTTTAAAGGCATTTCTTTTTATAATCTACTAAAATGCAACAAAAAAAATGGTTCGATTCCATTAATGTTGTCTTTTTTATTGCACTTTGGCAGCAGATTCCTGTGTAGCTTCAGATCTGAGTTGTCTTATTAGTAAGCCTAATTTATACATTTGTAGCAACACTGTTTTTATATAATGGCAAAGAATGGGTTCAGAGTATTTTCTTGTTTTATGTGTCATATGTGGCAGCACTGTTCAATGTTTCTTGAAAACATTACCCACTGTAGTGACGTGTGAATAAACTCTAACTCTGTATCAACAACACTGTTGTGTAACTTCAGTTAAATACTTGTATGTGTGCAGATTAGAAAGAGGTAAGATAAAGGATCTGCAGTATTTTATGGAGTATTAATCGTACAAAGGCCAGTTTTATACAAGTAGAAGGGTGTATTTACCTGGTAGTAGGCTGTCAGTAATGGCTACGCCTCTCTATTTGGATTGGTAGATCTCGGCAGACTGGCAACTTTAAAAGTAGCTCTCGGTTCAAAAAAGGTTGGGCACCCCTGGTCTACAACATCAGAAGACATTAGGTGCCAGGCAGCCATAAAATCACTTCCAAACTATTTTTCTACAGTGTTGTGGGACACTTAACTAGGCTATGGCTTGCTGTGTTATTGATGTAGGTGTGTTTGTGTGCTAAGTGTAACATGTTTTAATACCAGCGGGCATACAAATCTTTCTTCCCTGTCTGTCGGTTAACATCCCATCTCTCACAGATTTTATTCTCACTCCATAACTCACACCTCTCTCTCCGACTCCCTGCGTCTCTGTCTCCATCTGTTTGATTTGTAGATGAATCAAACAACACGTCCCATTAGAGCTTCTACCTGCATGACTAACCTACATATAACTGCACAATACCAAATGTTTTCTTTTTTCATTTTCCCTATTTTCTTGGTGTTTTTCTGTCCCACATTTATTTTTCTTTTATTCACCTTACACGTACATGTCACATGCTGTCTAGACTTTGGCAAACTAAGCAAAATCATTGCCAAATCGTGATAGCAACAACACTACAACATGTCTATTTGCAATTTCTACCATATAAGTGATGTATGCAAAAAGTAAAGAACAGCCCCAATGTTTAAGACATAATTGAACCAATCATTTATGTGTAATCCAGTGCCTATGTAACTGATAACTGGACTAAAATGAGGTTTGACGGAAATCAATGGAAACACAAATTAATTTATGGTGTGTGAATACACCATTGAAATACTTTTGCTGCATTAACCTGTAATACAATTTCCTGAATGGATTGACCTTACATTTGAGCTTGAACATAAAAAAAAATCCTCTTTTTTTCTCTGAATGCTCAAAGAAATGTTTCGAATTTAAATGAAAAAAACTAAATTCATCTCTGTGCTCTCTATGCACTACTTCTTTGGTCTTTCCTTTTATTGAGCCTCTATATGAAAACACCAATGCACTGCTTTAGTTCTGATGATAATGTATAGTCTGATAGCCTAACATAAAAGACTAATCTGAAAAGGAGACTGAATGTGGGTGTGCACTTTGGACCACACCTGGATGAATGAATAATGTGTTTGGACCTCTGTGTTTATCTAAGCATAGCACACGGCTCTGCTCCGTGAAGCCCGGGTGACAAAACCTGCAGTGATAGAAAGAGGAAAGAACACATATCTGACTGGGTACCAATAGGTACACACCTATGTTCATTTTCATGGGCACTCATGCGAGATCTGACACTCACACTGATTGTGCAGGCAGTCATGAACACATCCATAATAACTTTTATCCTCAAGTCAATAATCTGCTGTGTTTCTCCTGACAAGCA